GTGCTCGGGGCTCGGGTTAGGTTGTGTGTTACTTGGCTCTGGGAGGTTAACTTGTGGAGCCATCTTCCTCCCACCCCTGCACTAGTGGGAACCATCCCTGATAGAACAGCCCTGTGGATTGTCTGTGTCGCTGCTGGTCCTTTTGAGTCCTCCCACCAGCCTATGGTCTGCTTTACTGGCGTGTCATTGGTGTTAGGGACCTGGTCTCAGCCAGGCCAGCACAAGCTCAGTGTTGCTTCTCATGAACAGGAACATGGCGGTCAGAGCCGCCTACCCAACGGAACTGATCTTTAGATGGGTGTGGTTGTGTGTGCTTGCAACCCTTGGCTGAGGCGGGAAGATAACTGATTACAAGTTCAAATCCACCCTGGTAATTTAAAACTCTTTTTCCTTTTTTTTTCCCCCAAAGTTTTTCAGGGATTCTCTGTGTAGTCATGGCTGTTCTGAAACTCGCTCTGTAAACCAGGCTAGTCTCGAACTCTCAGAGATATCCCTGCCTCTGCCTCCTGTGTGCTGGAATTAAAGCATGTACCACCATGCCTTATTTTCTTTTACCCTTTCTGCATTTTTGAACATTTCAGTGTGAGCCAGTGAGACAGCTCAGCGAGTAACAGCACTGGCCACACAGACCTAATGGCCTGAGTCTGATCCCCAGATTCCATGGTCGAAAGAGCTGTCCTCAGATAACTGTGATGTGGTGTTAACGGCTGCACTCAGTTCCTCCTCAGACACACGTACACAACAATAATAACAAAGAAAATTCCAAACTAGGAAAGCCTCCCAGGGCCTGCGCTGACATTTCAGGGGTTGCAGCTCTGTTGATAGCAGCCTCCCGACTCGGGCTGAAGCCCTCTTTGACGTCTTCTTACCGCTGTTGGAACCCACACAGTATGGCAGCGCCACAACTTGGACCTCTCTCGGTGTCTAAGCCTGACAAGTGATCACTCTGCCCCTGTCTGTCTCTCCTCACATAGTTTCCTATACTTGGGTCTGTTGATGAATGGGGTTGCTGGGCTACAGAGTTTAACTTACTTGTGGGGTATTATATTTTTTACTCAGATCTCTGAACATGTCCGAGTTTGTCTGTGACCGGTCAGCAAGACCTTATGTTTATGACCTAATTGCTGTGTCCAATCACTATGGAGCCATGGGGGTTGGTCACTGTAAGTATTGGCATCTGCTTACTTGAGATGTGTGGAAATGCCCTGCCTGGTGTTTTCTCAGCCTCTTCCTGGATGCCTGGCACTGCCATTAGCCCCTGGCTTGTTTATAGTTCCTGGCTATAGGCTTTCTCAATCCTTTGCCCTTTCTAACCCCCTTCCTTTCTCCTTTCTAACTTTTCATATTCTTTAATTCGGTACTGCTAATGTGGTGAGTTGTCCCACTGATAATCCCATGCTGGGCTGGAGCTCATCATGTCGTCAGTCGGGGTAACCTAGGACTTCGGGCAGTCTCTCAAGTAGGGGCCATGCTGGGTTTATCTCTGGTATTCTCTCTTAAGACAATGACATGATAAAACTTTATGCACAAAAATGCTTGCCTCTATGTTTATTTTGATTTTTCAAGCTAGGGTTTCTCTATGTTGCCCTGGCTGTCCTGGAACTAGCTCTGTAGACAGATGGGCCTTGAACTCAGAAATCTGCCTACCTCTTCTGCCTCCCAAGTGTTGGGATTAAAGATGTGCGCCACTGCACCTGGCTCATTCCCCATCTCTGTATTAGCAAACGTGCTTGAGAGCACAGCTGATACTGCTGTCCAGGGCCTTGATCAGAGAGTTCTTAGCCACTTCAGAATAATCGAAAACAGCTCTGTAAAATTAGTATCTTTAGAAGCAGCATCCCAGCTCTGCAAAAGCGGAGAAAATACAAGGGGTACAGAGACCTAGAATGAGAAATGCCAAAATTAATTTATTTTTGGTGTAGTTTGGTTTGATTTTGAGACAGAATCTCATCGTGCATCCCAGGCTGGCTTGTAACTTGACAGGTAATCCTTGATGGCCTTGAACTGCAGTTCTTTCCATCCATCTGTTTACGCGCTGAGATGATAGGTATACATGACCTTACCCAACAAAAAAGTGATTTCTTTCTTTTGACCTATTTCCCAGAATTTCTGGTTCACTTTATGGAAACTTTTTTTGTATTTTCGTTGTTGTTGTTGTTGCTGTTGAGACAAGACTTTACTATGAAGCTCTGGCTGTCAGAATGCTTACACTCACCCTCCTGCCTAGCCTTCCAACTGTTTTAGCTATATATTACCAGTTTTGAGGGGGGCATTACTTTTCCCCCAGTGCTGGGGATGGAATTTGGAGCCTTGTGTAATCTAGATTAGTCCAGCTACTGAGCTGCAGCTCCAGCCTGCCCGCCACAGATACTGTCGCAGCTGTGGAGAAAAAAAATGGAAAGCTCCTTGTTCCCCTCTCAGCTCTGCAAACCCAGTGGTCACTGTTTTCCAACCAGAATTCCTCTACTGGCTCCAGAGGCACTAAGAACATTCTGCTGAAGACGAAGCCATCTGCTCTTGTTGTCTTAAATCTTAGAAGTATCAGTGCCATCGCCAAGTCCCTCTGTGGCTCTGGATTGCACTCATGACCATGTTGTTTGTTGGGGGCACTGATGGAAATCTTAGGCTAGTGCTGTGACTACACCGTGTCTAGCACTGGTCATAGCCATTGAATAGACCCCGGGCAGCTGGAGAGATGGCTCAATAGCGGAGAGCACTGTGCTTCCAGGACCTAAGGCTGACTCCCAGCACCACCTTATCACCTCTGTGGGCATTTGCACTCCTGTGCTCATAACCACCCCTCCATGTAATTAAATAATACATCTTTATTAAAAAATAAAAGTTGGGTGTGGTGGCACATATCTTTAATCCCAGTACTCTGGAGACAGAGACAGGTGAATCTCTTGAGTTCAAGGGCACCCTGATCTACTAGTGAGTTCCTGGACAGCCAGGGCTCCACAGAGAAACAAACTTATTGTTACTTATACGTATGTGCATATTAGTTATATAATTTTGTGCTGGTGGTGTTTTCTATTTGAGATCTATTCAACCCTCCCTAGATTTGGCTGGGTTGGCCTTGTACTTGGGGGCAGTACTCTTATCCCTGCCTCCTGAGCAGATTCACACTGGCTATACACTATTCTTAATGTCAGTGTCAATGTTTTTGGGTGTGAACCTGTGTTTGTATTCCATCCTAATACAATAACCAGATTCATTTTCCTGGTGGCCATTAGAGCATTTTATTTGTAACTTGCAGACACTGCATATGCGAAGAACAGACTGAATGGGAAGTGGTATTACTTTGATGACAGCAATGTGTCCCTGGCTTCTGAGGATCAGATAGTGGTGAGTACCTGGCCCAGAAACCCACTTTTCTCCGGTTATCTTAACAAGTAAGCCAAAAAGGTCCTCTTAGGCCATTGTTTACTTCATTATCTGGAGAGGCTCTGGGTGGAGTAGAGTGGACTGCCAAAGACATTCTAGATCTTTCCTAATGGAAAAGCTCAGTTTTCCTTGAGGTACGAGATCATAGTAATCCTGCATTTCCCCACAGCCACGGTTAGGAGGCAGCCAGTAAAGTGCCTTTCTGGGTGCTCTTAGGTGTGGCTATGCAAACAAGGTGGCAGACTCCTGACCGTCCTTGTTCACTCACTCACCCCTCCTTCAGGGTGTTTGTTTATTGAGGTGTGGCTTTCTACACATCCCTAATCTAAACTCACTCTGTGTGTCAGGCTAGCCTAAAATTTACGGTAATTCTCCTGCCTCTGCTTTCTGAGTACTGGGATTACAGGTGTGTGTAACCACATCCAGTTTCAGATTGATTTTTTTTGAGAAAGGGTTTTACTCTGAAACCCAGGCTGGCAAAAACAACAACAACAAAAAAACCCTCCTTTCCCAGGCTCTTTTCCCCTTGCTGGGATTATAGGCAGGAGCTACCGTGAGTTTAGTATAGAATGGTGAGGAAAGGGTGGGGACAGGTGCGTGTGTTCCCAGTAAATGGACTCCCTCCCTCCCTTGTATTTTAGACTAAAGCTGCCTACGTGCTATTCTACCAGCGTCGTGATGACGAATGTCACAGTGCGCCCTCGCTCACCACTTTCCCAGGCTCTTCTGGTGGAGCCATGAGGCTGGGCAGCTCGCAGCAGGGCCTGGGAGATGATGAGGCTTCCAACATGGACACCAACTGATGCTGACTCAGCGGCCCTGCCACCTCCCCCACCCCACAGCAGTGTCCTCCCCCAGGAGAATGCCTTTGACACTCTTGAAGACTGCTCCTGTCAATCTTAAAACCAGATGAGGAAATTTCCTTCTTTTATGAGAAGAGAAAAGAAAAGAAAGACCCTGTTCTCTCAGAAGGGTTATGTTAAGAGGCTGAATTATTTTTTCTTTCAAATGGGTGTTGAGATAAACCTGTGGAGCTGAAGTGTGGGGTGGGATTTGGTACACAGTGAAGCTTGTCTCATGGATTCCAAAGAATGGAGAGGAACACCCTGTATTTGAGTATGGTGCAGCCATGAAGACCCATGCAGGGCTGCTCTGAACTCCTGGGTTTTGGGTTCTGGTGCCCATACTGGTCACCCCGGTAGTCTGGCCACAGTAAACCAAGCCTCTAGTAAACTTGATGCTGTCCTCGAGTCCTTTGCTATTCACTGAGATGGGTTTATAGTTTTCTGAACATTAGCAGCAGTAAATTATTACTGGAGCCCATTTCTAGTCTCTGTTCTCTCAGAATTTCCCAGCTCTTGGGGGGTCTTGTTTTCAGTTTCTGTGGAACCTTCAAGTTCTGTTTTAACACCACTGTTCTTGATAAAAGCTGATTCTATGTGGAACTTTTAACACTCTCTTAAAATAAGTCCATTCATAAAACTGGGTGCAGTGTGTGGCATTGCTTCTCCATGTTGGCTTCAGAGAAACACTATGGGTGTTTGCCAGATCTTCAAAACACTTAAGTTAAATGTGGTTTAAGAAAATACTGTTTCCAGCAGGGTGACCATGCCTTTAAGCCCAGCCCTGGGAGGTAGAGGCAGGTGAATCTGAGTTAAAGGCCAGCCTGGTCCACGGAGCAAATTCCTGGACAGCCAGGGCTAAGCAGAGAAACCATCTTGGAAACAACCCGGCTCCACCCCGCTCCCCCACCCCCCAACCCCCGGGGAAAAAAGTTTTTAGTAACAGATATCTCCTGACTGGATTGTTTCCCTTATCCCGATGGCGCTACACCTTACTCTTCACCTGCTAATAGGTCACTTCTCGAGGCCTTTGTTGCCCCTTGTGGTCATGTGAGTTTTGACCGACCTTTAACCTAGTACGTGGGGGGTTGGGAGTCCCGTCTTGGCACGTGAGCGCAGTGTCCGTTGGGCACTCTTGTGCGGCCACGGCTGGGTGAGGACGCAGTAGGGGCCCCTTCCGGCCTAGATTGGCCATAGTTTGGGGACCCAGACAACTGGGTCGCAGTGGGGGGCGGCGGTGGGAAAGGCCCAGCGGCAACCAGCTAAGGAAGCTCTTGAGGGTTAAGCGGGGTGTATCAGGCCTTTCCCTGCGATCTGGGGTTCTGAGAATGGTGGGCAATAATCCCCTCTCAGTTTTCGAAAAGAAGGATGATGTGTAAGCGTAAATCAAACTTGAAATCCGGGTAGAATCTCAGCCTCTTGTATAGCATCATTACCGCGTTGCTCTGTGCATTTCCGATTATTAAATAATAAAAGGAATGATCGCTTTTAGGGAAATGTCTGAGAAACTACGAAGATGCAGAAAGGAGCTGACTGCAGCCATAGACCGAGCCTTTGAAGGAGTCAGGCATTCCCAGGAGTGCACAGGCCCGCAGAGGCTGGACGCCCCATCGCTCGCCTCTCTGCCCGTGCACAGGCTGTTCTGCCGAAACCCACTGGCAGCTTGCCCCTCTGCTGCCCCCTGCGCTGGTGCCACATGTGCTCCTGAGAATGAGAACCCTGTCTTTGCACCACATCATGTCCCAGTTAACGCAAAGCCCCTTCCTTTATACCCTAAAAGAAAACCTCTGATCAGCAAGGAAAATGTCTTGATGCACTCTTCCATTTTGGCACGTGAAAAACAGTTTTGGAGAGCTGCAGGAGATGGGGAAAACTGGAGAAAAGAAAGTTTAAGGTGATTTTAATTTGATTGCTTAATAGCATCAATTAGGGAGAATCGTTTCTTAAAAAAAGGTCTGATTTGTTATTAAGCTAGCCTTCTCTTGGGAGTGCCAAGAATGTACAGGAAATTGATACACAGTTTTTAGAATCTGACCCCAACAGTTATGTTGTGTTGTATATATTTGGGCTGAAAACTCTAGCTATCCAGGCATGGAAACTATGGTACCCAGAGGGCAATCAGTGTTAAGTAATTATTTTAAATGTTTGGGTGGTGGTTGAGGATTGAACCAGAGGTCTCATACATGCTAAGGCAAACATTCTACCGCTTATCAACAAGCCTTAGCAATACTCCTCTTATTCTTGGAGGGTTTTCCTAATTTGTATTTTGTATGTGTCGATGTTTTGCCTGCAGAGGCTGTGGCACTGCCTGCCCAGCAGCTAGAGGGACTGAAAGTTGTGAGCTGCCATGTAGGTGCTGTGCAACTGGAAGAGCAGCCAGTGCTCTCAACTGATGAGCCATCTCCAGCTGCCCATTTTTTCTCATTTTATATTTGTATTAGTATGTATGTGTGTGTGTATGGAGTGTAGACATAGGCATGACATAGCATGCCTATGGAAATCAAAGGGAAACCTTCAGGAGTTGGTTCTCTCCTCCGTGGGTTCAGGGATCCAACTCAAGTTGTCACGCTGTATTTGCATAGCTGTGGCATTCTGCCAGACTGTTTTTGCTTTTTTTTTTTTTTTTGAACTCCAATGTAGACCATATGGCTTTAAGCTCCTGTGTAGGTGAGGGTAACTTTGAACTTGGATCTCTGAGTCTTAAGTCCCAAGTGCAGGAATTATAGACATGAGCTACTAGTCCTGAGTGATCTGATTTAAATACAAACACTCTAAGCTGCAAAAACAAAAATACCACATACCATCTTCCATGTTCATAGCCAGGGCAGTGGCCTTTACCTTCCTTTGCCCACACTTAGATCCATGACGAGGCCCTACTTCCTGGCTTTATCTGTGTCTGTGTTGCAGCCAGGCTGTGGTGGAGTACACCTTTAATCTCAGCAAGCAGGTATCTGAGTTCGAGGCCACCATGGTCTACAGAGCAAGTTCCAGGGTAACCTGGACTGCACAGAGGACCCCTGTCTCAAAAACTAAACTGAACCAAACCAAAAATACCTTTTGATTGTCTCCTTTACAGCCACTAAGTAGCTACAAACTGTCCCATTCTTGGGTGGATGGCTGTGTGTGATCTGACTTAGATGTCTGGCCATCTTGCCTAACCCAAAGTCAAGTAATTGAGAACTCTTTTAACTGAAATATGCGTGCTGGCTTCGTGAACATCAGTACACCTGTAGTGGGATCGTCGTTATGATGCTGCTGTGGTTCTTCACTGACTTAGTTATCAGTTTCTGGTTATTCTCAGAGCATAAAAGGTAGTCACCAGTAAATTTTAGTCTTAGCTGGGCATGGTGGCATGTCTTGAATCCCAAGGACTCAAGAGACAGAAGCAGGGGGAATCTCTGAATTTGAGGCCATCCTGGTTGGTTTACCCAGGCCAGCCAGGACAACCTAGTCTGTGTCTTAAAAGCAAAACAGGGGCTAGAAAGATGACTCAGATCCTGAGTTCAATTCCCAGTGACCATATGACAGCTCACAACCATCTATAAGATCTGGTGCCCTTTTCTGGCATGTAGGCATACATGCAGGAGGAACATTATATATAATAAATCTTAAAAACAAAACAAAATTAGACAAACATCAAATCAGTTGCATTTTAGATTATCTCAAGTTTTTCTTTTTTCTTTTTTTTCTTTTTGAGACAGGGTTTCTCTGTAGCTTTGGAGCCTGTCCTGGAACTAGCTCTTGTAGACCAGGCTGGCCTAGAACTCAGAGATCCACCTGCCTCTGCCTCCCAAGTGCTGGGATTAAAGGCGTGCGCCACCACCGCTGGTTTATCTGAAGTTTTTCAGAATTTTCCTGAATATCTAATTCCTATCTTCTTCCCCCACCCGCACCCATCTGCGCTGCAGGAAGGATGACTCAAATATGCTGCTGAGCAGTTCTAGCCAAGAGGTCACAAAGGACCTGCTGGATATGATTGGTAAGTAGAAAGCTGGGCCACTCTTTGCTCGGTACCTCACATAGGCCAGGAGGCAACACATCTTGTTTGGAAATTTAGTTTGCCAAAGCAGACTCAGTAGAGAACCGTGAAATCATCAATACTGCCCCTTTCTTCAATGAACAGGTAACCTAGTGAGGTCACAGGTCAATAAGATCATTACCTACGTATTTTATAATCTGGGCTCCCTGAAGGAACAGAGAACAGCCTTCAGACCTTAGTGCAGAGATGAAGGAAATGGGGTACAGGCCCAAGGAGGAAGAGAGAACAAATAGTCCACCCGGTGGGAAATGCAAAGGTGGAGTGAGGTGACACCTGCCTTTAATCGCGGCACTTGGAAGGCAGAGGCATGCAGATCTGTATGAATTTGAGGCAAACCTAGGCTGCAGAGTGAGACACTGTTGCAAAGAATAAGATCTGTCTCCCTAGAAACAGCCACTTAGCATAGCACTGTATGTCTTATTAGACAGTTTACCTTTATCAAACACTTTTATTATTTTTAATTATGTATGTGTCTGTGTGTATCTTGAGTGTGGGTGACCTCAGAGGCCAAAGGTGTTGCCTCCCTCTAGGGCTAGAATTACAGGAGGCTATGAGCCACCAAGCATGGATGCCTGTAACTAAATCTGGGCCCTTTGCAAAAGCAGTTAAATGCTCTTAACTGCTGAGGCATTTCTCAAGCTCCATTTTTTTTCTTTCTTTTTTTTTCTGTTTTGTTTTGTTTTTAGAGAAAGGGTTTCTCTGTATAGCTTTGGATCCTGTCCTGGAACTTGCTCTGTAAACCAGGCTGGCCTCGGACTCACAGTGATCCGCCTGCCTCTGCCTTCCAAGTGCTGGGATTAAAAGTGTTCCACCACCACCCAGCCCCATTTTTCTTTTAAATTTTTTTTTTTTTTTTGGTTTTTTCGAGACAGGGTTTCTCTGTGGTTTTGGAGCCTGTCCTGGAACTAGCTCTTGTAGACCAGGCTGGTCTCGAACTCACAGAGATCCGCCTGCCTCTGCCTCCCGAGTGCTGGGATTAAAGGTGTGCGCCACCACCGCCCGGCTCTTTTAAATTTTTTTAAAATTTCTTTTTTTTATTAATCTAGGCACAGTTTGAAGATTGAGTGTTTGCCTGCAGGTATATTTGGGGACCATATGTGTGTGTGCTTTGTGAATAGAGGCCAGAAGAGGTGTTGGGATTTCCTGGAACTGGAATTCCAGAGTTGTGAGCCTCTACGTAGGTGCCAAGAACTAAATGTGTCTTTCTTCTACAAGAACAGAAAGTCCTCTTAACAACTGAGCCATCTTTTGCAGCCCCTACACCACCCATCCCATTTTTGTTATTTTTGTTTTGTTTTTGAGACTCCCTTGGGCTACACCAAGCTTTTTCTTTTTCAGACAGACTCTGGCTGGATAGGCCAGGCTGATCTCAAACTTGTAATCCTCCTGCTTGACTCTTGTGAGTACTGGATGATAAGCATGCAGCAGCACACCCAGCAGTTAGACGTTTATCCTACATACATTCTATATCTGTATGTTCTCTGAACTGTGTGTCCTATTTCTAAATGACTCATTGCAGTGAACCAGCATCTCCTGGTTAGGGGATACATAGCTGCAGGCATTGCCAGAAACTGTGGACATGGAAGAATCCCCAGGTTAGAAAGGACTCAAGGGAGATCTAATGAGGCATGGTGCTTGCATTGGGCCCCAAAACCTTTCTGTAATTTTGGATGACTGACTGTCCTCTGCTAGCCCCAGTTGAAGTCATTGCTGCTTCTGCCCATTGTTTCCTTGGACCTCCCAGTACCTGTCTCCTCCTGACTATCCGCAGACCCTGCTTTTCATACCACCTCATCACCCCCTCAGGTCAGCGAGTTCTGAGAGCTGGAACAAGCAGGCATATTCCATTTATACTATGCTTGAGAATGCGCAGATAATCAGGGCTGGTGGCTCACTTGTGTGTGCTGTCACAGGAATGTCTAGTTCTGTATAGCCCCTGAAATGCTTACCCATTTATGGTTTGTGTGTCTATTTGCTTGCTAGCTTGTGGTAGTAAGGTATCAAACTAGACAACGATTCTTTCATGAGTTACATACATTAGTTTTGTGCTTTTTAACTTAAGTATGAAATGTTCTCAGAAACTTTTTTTTTTTTTCTGAGACTTTCTCTGTGTAGCCTTGGCTGTCCTGGAACTCACTCTGTAGATCAGGCTGGTCTAGAACTCACAGAGATCCACCTGCCTCTACCTCTTGAGTGCTGGGATTAAAAGCATGTGCCACTACTGCCTGGCCTCATGTTGGGCACCCATATGTAGCATGAGTTCTAATAGGTATTAATAATAAAAATCCGAAGCCGGGCGGTGGTGGCGCACGCCTTTAATCCCAGCACTCGGGAGGCAGAGGCAGGCGGATCTCTGTGAGTTTGAGACCAGCCTGGTCTACAAGAGCTAGTTCCAGGACAGGCTCCAAAAACCACAGAGAAACCCTGTCTCGAAAAACAAAAAAAAAAAACAAACAAAAAAAAAAATCCGAGTCACATAGAGGGAAAAATAAAAGATCAGAGAGACAAAGGAGCAAAACCATGGCCACCTTATCTACTCAACTTCCCAGCCAAAAAGAGACTGAGCTCTTGTCTTCACCCACTATATCACTTCCTCTTCCTGCCCAGCCATATCACTTCCTGTCTATCTGTATAGACTCCAGACCTCTGTGGTTAACTAGAGGCTAGCTATGCCCTTTGATCTTTAGGCAAGCTTTATTTGTAAAACAAGATACCACCACAACAGGGTATCTTTGTGTAATAGCGCTGGCTGTCCTGGAACTCATTCTGTAGACCAGACTAGCCTAGAACTCACAGAGATCCACCTGTCTGCCTCCTGAGTGCTGGGATCAAAGGTGTGTGCCACCACTGCCTGGCTGTTCTCAGAAACTTCTAAATTGAACTATAAAGCTGAATGTCGTTTTGTTATTGTTTTAAGACCATACGAGTATCCGAACTATTGAAGAACTGGCTGGAAAACTAGAATTTGAAAACGAATTGAACCGTGTGTGTGGACGCTGCCAAGATTCACCCCTTAAGGAGGAGGCCTGGGCCCTGCTTGTGGACGAGAGCCCTCGGAAGTCGTTGGATGCTGACCCTGGGAGCCTCAAGCAGGCTTTTGATGACCAGAATATTGTTGAGACCGTTCTGGACTTGGAGGAGGATTACAATTTGGTGACCTCTTTTAAATACCAAATAGAGTAAGGTTAGCAGCAGCAAGTCCTGACTCTTGACAAGGGGTTGGCAGAGCCTGAATCACCACATACTGTAACTCCTGCCGAATCCCACTGTGAGCTGAGTCTGGGCTTTAATATTCTGTTATTTTGAAATGTTTGGAGTTTTTTTTGACTTGACATTTTTTAAAGTGTTTTTGATTGATGTTCAATATATACAATGCCTTTGGTAGGTTGTGCCTTTGCTCTTTCACCAGATTCCTGGAAAAGATGGGTACTGTAACCAGGATGGATTTGCCACCTGGGACTAGCCCACCACAGGTAAACTCGATTCAGAAGAGCCAGGCTCACACTCGAGTTTGGCTTGGGCCCCTCACACACTTTGCACACAGGAACCCTGTTTCCTGCATCCAGGCTTTCTTCAGGTCTTGGTTTACCACCCTTATTTTCCTATCCCTATCCTCCCCAGAGTGCTGCCTCTGTGTGGATCTACTTGAGTCAGCGTCTGGCAGGATTCCAGACTGTCTCCTTTAGGACCTATGTATCCTCCACAGACACATGGACCCCAGCTGAGGGGGTGAGGGGGGGCAGGAAGGGGACAGCCAGCACAGGTTCACACCTGAACCATATCATCCCACCATGAGAAGTTCTACAGCAAAGACCATGCTGAGCCCAGACAGAGAAGTCCAGAAGGAGGCCAGGAAGACAGGCCAGGGCACTGCCTGAGTGCATCCTGCGCATTGCCCTCCTGAGGTCAGCATAGCAAAAAGAAAGAAAAGGAAGAAGCACAGTAGCAAGCAAGATGACTCAGTGTATTGTTCCATTATTTTAACAGCTATTTTAGTCTTGGGATTTGGCTCAGTGGTACTCAACGGGTGTAGCAATAGAGGCAACATGTCACTCCTTAGTGTCACCTGGTCACCTTGTCAAATACCCCGAGATGAGTGTTTACTGGTTTCCACCAAGGATGGCTACTGGCGTTGCCTGCCTGAGGCAAGAGAAAAGGACATCTAGTCAGTGGCTCTTCTTGACTAACTGCCATTTAATCTCTGCAGGAGGGAGAAATTCAGTAAACACAGCCTGACTTAGAATGTTCATAGCATCCTTGGCTGCCTCTGCTCAGGTTGTTCTAGAGAGGTCAGTCTATTTGAAATTCATGTTCATAAAATATTTCTCAAGCAAGCATATTGCTTAACTGTATGTGAAGTGGACTTTGGTTTTTTTTTTTTTTTTTTTTTTTTTTTTTGAGAGAGAGAGGGTATATATTCCTGGCTGTTGTAGAACTCCCTATGTAGGGGCTGGAGAGATGGCTCAGTGGTTAAGAGCATTGCCTGCTCTTCCAAAGGTCATGAGTTCAATTCCCAGCAACCACATGGTGGCTCACAACCATCTGTAATGAGGTCTGGTGCCCTCTTCTGGCCTGCAGACATTATATTATTATATTATTATATTATATTATATATTATATAATATATATATATTATATATTATATTATTATATTATTATATTATATTATATATTATATTATTATATTATTATATTATTGTATACATAATAAATAAATAAATATTTAAAAAAAAAAAAAAGAACTCCCTATGTAGACCAGGCTGGCTTCTAACTCAAAATGATCAGCCTGCTTCTGTCTCACAAGGTGTGCACCAGCAAACCCTACAGATGCAGAGGTGGAACTTAATTTTTGCCTTTTTCTCTTACCTATCATCACCCTTAAGAATGAACTAGAGGGGCTGGAGAGATGGCTCAGAGGTTAAGAGCATTGCCTGCTCTTCCAAAGGTCCTGAGTTCAATTCCCAGCAACCACATGGTGGCTCACAACCATCTGTAATGGGGTCTGGTGCCCTCTTCTGGCCTGCAGGCATACACATAGACAGAATATTGTATACATAATAAATAAATAAATATTTAAAAAAAGGGGGGGGCTGGAGATATGGCTCAGTGGTTAAGAGCACTGACTGCTCTTCCAGAGGACCCGGGTTCAATTCCCAGCACCCACATGGCAGCTCACAACTGTCTGAAGATCCAGTTGAAGGGGATCTGACACCTTCACACCAATGCACATAAAATAAAGTTAAATAAAGCATAAAAAAAAAAAGAATGAACTAGACTTGGTTACTCTTTTTATTTTAGACTTTTTTTTTTTCTGTGTTGCCCTGGCTGTCCTGGAATTTGCTCTGAAGACCAGGCTGGCCTCAAACTCACAGAGATCCGCCTGCCTCTGTCTCCCAAGTGCTGGGATTAAAGGTGTGCGCCACCACCACTGTCCAGCTAGACTTGGTTACTCTTATTCAAAGACTAAAGGAAAGAAAAACTGCAGAGCTGACAAATCCCGAGACTTATCAAATGCCATGTAGAGGTTAGACGACAGGTGTGGTGCGTGCAGTATTCACAGAACTGGGAGGTGAAGGCAGGAGAAGGCCAGTTCAGAGGCCAGCTGGTTCATGTAGTTAGACCCTTTCTTAATGAAAAGGAGGGCTGGAGCGATGTCTCAGTGGTTGTGAGTCTTTGACTTGCCCTTTCCAGGGGTGCTACACCTCCAGTTCCAGGGGATCCAACACCCTCTTCTGGTTTCCTCTGGCACTTCAACTCATGTGACATACACTCACACATACATATAAAAACCCAAATCTTTGAAATTAAAAATTGTAAGATGTAGATGTGATGGCTAATGCCTGTAATCCCAGCACTTGGGAGACGAAGCAAGAGGATCAGCACCTTACAATCATTCTTGACAACACCACAGTGGAGTGCTTCTCAACCTGTGGGTCTGATGACCCTTGTACAGGCTCACCTAAGACCATCAGAAAACACAGATATTTACATTATGATTTATAACAGTAGCAAAATTACAGTTATGAAGTAGCAACAAAATGGTTTTATAGACAGGAGCAGGTGGAGGAGGGAGGAAGGAGAGAGGGGCAGGAGGCAGGTAGTCACTTTTCATGAGGGAATGTAGCATGTGCTGGAGCCCTGCAGCAGACAGTGTCAGGACCCTGAGCAGGCCAGAGAACTGCCTGAGTGCATCCTGCCAGGTCCCCAGGACGCAGGCTAGCATACTGCCTGAATGCTAGCAACCACAACAGGGTCACAGCCTTAGGAAAGTTGAGAACCACTGGCATAAAGTGTTCAAGGCAAATCTGATACCTGTGATATGCTTACAAAACCCATAGTCTTCAGTCTATAACCTTGAGAAAAATGTCAGACAAACCCAGACAGGTGGATGTTCTAGTATCCCTGGGTAGAACTTCAGGATTATCAAGGCCACGAAAAGGATTCAAAACCTCTCCGCAGCAGTACAGAGAAGACATGGTGTCCGAGAAGCACGTGAATCCTGGACTGTGCCTGAGAGTAAGGGACGTTCACACTAGTGAGAGCTACGTGAAGGCTGGTGTTTAATGTATTGACACTAGTTTCCTGGCTTTGACAAATCTATCAGTTACATGTCAACACTGGGAAAGCAGGGCAGAGTTTACACATGCTCACTATATTTGAAGTCTTCTGTAAATCTAAAGTTATTCCAAAATATAACATTTAAAAGTACAATCAACTGCGAGCCAGGTGGTGGTGGCGCATGCCTTTAATCCCAGCACTCGCGGGGCAGAGGCAGGTGGATCTCTGTGAGTTCAAGGCCAGCCTGTTTACTAAGCAAGTTCCAGGACAGTCAGAGCTGTTACACAGAGAAACCCTGTCTTGAAAAACTAAGAGCACTGGCTGCTCTTCCAGAGGACCTGAGTTCAGTTCCCAGCAACCACATGGGAACTCACAACCGTCTGTGATAGGATCTGAAAACCTCTTCTGGCCTGCAGGTATACAGAGAGCACTCATGCATAAAATATAATTAAATAAAATTTTTTTTAATCCTTTTCTTTTTTTAATATTTATTTATTATGTACACAATATTCTGTCTGTATGCCTGAAGGCCAGAAGAGGGCGCCAGACCTCTTTACAGATGGTTGAGAGCCACCATGTGGTTGCTGGGAATTGAACTCAGGACCTTTGGAAGAGCAGGCAATGCTCTTAACCACTGAGCCATCTCTCCAGCCCCAATAAAAAATTTTTAATGCAATCAACTCAATTGTTTTTTTTTTAATGTAAAAGCAAAATTTTGTCCAGCCTTGTCTACGGAGTGAGTTCCAGGACAGCCAGGCCTACACAGAGAAACCCTGTCTCAAAATATCAAAAAAAAAAAATTGTAGGGAAGCATCAACAGAAATTAAATTAAAAAAATATTTTATATAAAAATAAAAAAATAAAAAATAAAATAATGATACTACCAAAAAATTTATATTTTGCCAGGCAGTGGTGGTTCAGTCCTTTAATCCCAGCACTCAAGGTCAGCCTGGTCTATAAAGCAAGGACCAGGATAGCCAGGGCACAAAGAAATACAGTCTCTAAAAAAAAACCAAACCAGCCGGGCAGTGGTGGTGCACGCCTTTAATCCCAGCACTTGGGAGGCAGAGGCAGGAGGATCTCTGTGAGTTCGAGACCAGCCTGGTCTAAAAGAGCTAGTTCCAGGACAGGCTCCAAAACCACAGAGAAACCCGGTCTCGAAAAAACCAAAAAATAAAAAAAACCAAACCAAGCCAAAAAATAAATAAGAAAAAGAAAAAAGGAAACAAAAAAGAAGTCACAGTGTGCAGTGTGTGTGTCTACAAATCAACCCCCGAGCCCAGACAGGCGCTTTTCACTGAGCTTCACCCCCAGTCCTAAGATGTTTTTGTTCTAAATCCCCATCTCTGTCCATGAATCATGGGTATTTGTTGCTAGGTGCCTATCTGTCACCAGCTGTGACAGTCTGTGAGGACTGAATGGATGGACTCCAGGGTCACACAGGACTCCTGGAGTCTTCAGGATAGTTGCCCCAGGTCTCACAGAATAGAGTCCCAGTTGAATTCACTGGTCAATGTGCAGTCTCTGCACGCAGGACTTTGAAGGGGAAGTGGCCACAGAGGATGGCAGAACCCTAACTATGGAACACTTTGAAGTGACAGGTTTGTTTTTGTTTATGGTGGCGATTAGCCCTTGGGAATCTGCGTCCAATTCAAGGAGATAGACGAGGCTCCCTCTGGCCAGTCAGGGAGGTACACTTTGGCTTTGATTTAGCCAAAGCTTTATGTGAAAATATCTCAATTGGGGATATTTTCCCTCTGTAGAAACAGATGTTTGGCAATGTAGACACCACTTACTCAGGTGGGCACACAGACCTCCTTCTCACCTGTTTACATCTCCTGGCTCACTAATGTGCCCCTAACAGCCCTTCCTGCCTCTGTCATCTGCTCAGAGGGGCAGGAGGAGGAACTGTTTTTCAGGAATTTGCTGGAGAGAATATAGGAGGCTAGAACATAGCATTTACTAAAACTAAAGGTTTTCAGGGTCAAAGATATTCATGATGTGTGACAGTTGACCCTAGTCATGTCTGAGAAACTTGAAAATGTTTGACGTCATTCAGTTCCCTCCCCCGCAGTTCATCTCGGCACACCAAACAATCACTGAATTGTTTCCGTGGAAACACCAAACTGCAATTTGGATTACCGGAATCAAAATAGAAACAAGGAAAATTCAAGAATAAATAGGAGCAGTGAAACCTGCTAGCTGCAAATCCCAATCCCAGCATGAGGCATGAGAAGCTGGGCCATCCATCCTTACGATTCTCAGGTTCTAAGGCTACATCCTACCAAGATGCTAAAGTTAAAGCTTTAGAAGTAGACTGGAAGACTCTGAGACAGTCAGGCAAGGGTTGATCTGCAGAGAGTCCTAGAACAAAAGGTTAGAGGGCTGGAGGAAGGCTTAGGAAAGGCCTGCTGCAGAAAGAGGGTTAAACAAATCTCAGGTGGAAGGCAGGCCAGGCAGGGGGCAGAGCAGCTGCTGTCAGAGCTTGAAATTGTGACTGCGGCCTCAGGCCAACTGCATGGCAGTACCCCCCACACTTCCAATCCTGCCTGCCCCTGGCCACCTACATCTAGTTCAAGACCCTACCCAGGTGAGTGTCCAGGCACCCCTGTGAGCACGCCTTCGTGCCTGTGCCAGACAGGGCATTCCGTCAGGCACCTGTCTTGTCATCTCCAGCTCTCACTGTAGGGTAAAAGGGTAAGCCAAAGAAACACACTTTGGCCCTGAAACCAGGGCTAAAGAAATATACTCTGCCCCCTGACCAAATCAGTACAAAAACCAACCAATCCCTGAGCATGAAATCCAGCCAATCTCTCAATTTATACAATCTCAGCAATTGAAATCTGACCAATTCCCACCCTGAAAAGCTCTTGGGAAACTTCTGCCCATAGGAAGCCCTATGTAAGGCCGGTTCCTTCTTCAGTTTGCTGCTGCTTTTTCCACCCTGGCAGAGGCAGCCACTCTCTTGGATCCCTCCCTCCCAATAAATCTCTTGAATGAGGTTT